TGTGCTGGCTGCGCACCTCGCGCAAGTGCCGAGGCAGGCTGAGCTTCGAAGTGCTCAACGCATCTAGGCCGCAGGGCAGAGCCTAACGAAGGCTCTTTGAGGCAAAGCTCAAGTTTTTGGGCGCCATCAGGGCAGTGTTCTGAGTAATCTACACAGTGGATGCCGTGGTGCTCACTTGCCACCGACATTCGCGTGCAGAATTGACCTTGACTGGCCAGTAGCTGAGGAGCCGGACAAGGCTTTCGGAAGCTGGAACGGATATCCACATCCGTACGACCAGAGCCTTGTCTGCAGCCCGATCCTGATCGGCTGGGCACGAGGTTGAGGCAATCAGCCTTGAAGTCTCTTTCCGTCGCAGGAGTCGTCCTCTCTCCGAAGCGCAGTAGCGATGTGGGTCATAGGTGTCTCGTCCGGGGGGGGGGTCACTGTTTCGGGCTTCTGTCTGTGCCACGGGTTGGATAGCTGGCTTTCGGACATCATCTCTATTTCGAAGCTGATGTCTCGCCGGAAATCAGCTTCCCTCGCTGTCTCAACTGCCCTTTTGCAGTTTCCACGTTCCAGGAGTGCGGCTAGTTTCACATTGATCTTTGCAGCCACTTACTGTCGAACAACAAACAGTTGCGAACGATTCTGAAGATGCGCCGCATGTCAGTGTTTTTGTTTTTTGAATTTGAGGCTTGCGATCGACCGCACGAAGGAGGTGAATGGCTTGGGCTACGCCGCCATCCGCAGCATTGCTGGCAACCAGGACTTGCAGCCTTGCAGCTGGAACTTTGAAAGGGAGCATTTCAAACAGCCTGGAGAGCTGCAGCGTTCTTTGTCGCGTAGCACAGCTGTATGCGAAATGACAACTTATTGCCATCATCAATCACCGATCGACTGCGTGGATGTACACGAGTCGATCACTTTGAGCTTGATGCAGTCCGTTGCCGTATTGGTATAAGCATGTATAAGCTTCGAATCAACGATTCTCTTCTCCCACCCGCCCTAACCCTATAGTAGGCGTTTCACTTCCCTCTGCTTTCATTCTGCGAGTCCTCCAAATATCGAAATAATGTTTCTGTAAAAATATGATCGAAACTTTCGGTATACCCGATTAGATTCCGAAGGCAGTCCGCAATCGCAGAACACGCCCTCCGTAACTATAGTTTTTCGTGGAGCATCCATCGTGGGGCTGCCATCCTTAACTTTGAGGCATCCGGGTCACATCCCGCATTACCTTGACAGGACCGCATGATCTTCCTGCACCCCAACGCTATGTCCAGCATAGGCCGTGATCATTTGCTGTTGAGATTTGGATCTCCGCTTCGTGGATCAGCGTTTGGTTCCGGATCCAGTCTTCCTGATCTCACTCAGCTCTGTGTTCACGCTGTCGTCGCGCAGAGGCACCGCCAAAGCGGTGTACCCTTCCAAGTGGAGTCTGCCAGGAGGTGGCAAGGATGTTGCTCAGCTGCGGTTTAGTGATCTGGTGACGGGACGATCTAGGCTAGGGCAGATGAACCCTGCATTTGTCCAAGACAAGTTCTAACGGAGTCGTCTCATTGGTGATGAAATGCTTGCGTTGCCAGAGTCAAGGCCTGTGTGGGCGTCACCGTGCACACATATGCGCCTGACTTGAATTGGGTACCCAGTGTTTCTTGTATCCTAATGCAGCTACGACTTGCAGAGTTCAGGATCCGTACGATTTCTGCGGCGAGAATGGCCACTCCAACTACTATGCCAACCCCAAGGCGATGAAAAAAGGCAGGTTCGGGGACTGTGCATGTTGACGAGCGGAGGACTGGTGGCGCCATCTGAGATGCAGCAGGTGTAGGCCGTCTCTCTGGATCGCTGCCCTGTCAGACTTGATCTTCAAGTTCAAAGACCTCCGCGATTGGGCATTCGAGACTTGTTCCGTCCAGGCAATTTGCCCCGCCATAGAGAGGAAAAGACAAACGGAGACCCCAGGCACAACCCCGGACAGATCGTTGCCACCTCGATCCAAACAAAATCATGCACATCGAAGGCTGCCGGTGCTTGCGGGATGTAATGCACTGGAGTTCCCGGGGCTGCTGCGGTGAGGTGTCCAGCTGTCACGAGTTCTGTTCTCAGGAAAGCAAGATCCACTCACCCTTCTGCCAACGCGAACACATTTACACACGGACACTCGTGCAGTCATGCTCTAACACGCACAACGATACGTAAGAAGTTGGATATGATGAGCTGCATTGCACCCGACTCCAGGATAACTAGAAAGAAGGCTCCTCTTCTGTCCCTGCGAGGCACGCGAACGGATAGGGTTTGAAGGAGAGCTTTGTGGGGCAAAGCTCCGTCACGACATCCTGCTTTGCCAATCATAACTGCATGTGATGCAGGTGCTCTCGCAACCTTGACCTTGTGCAGCCAAGGACACAGATATCCCTGTGTATGTAGGCGAGTACGGTGGGGAGCTGAGAAAATTAATTCAAGCGCCTACTGTGGAGCGCAGCTTTTGTGGCAGCACTAGCTAGGAAGAGGGATTGCAGCGGCAACGGATTTCATTGACAGGTATTTTTGATTGTAAATTCGCATTGCAGCTCGGTCTTGGAGAGTCACCCATGATTCTGCTATGCACTCGAGGTAGACCTACTTCAACAATATCACATGTTTGTGCTGATGCTAGTGTCACCTCGAAGAGATGTCTTGCCATCAGAAGATATCAGAAGAATCCATGGCCAAGTCATGGAATCAGATCATCTGTCGAGCGGCAGGTTGTGGCAGCCGTCACCTTGTAGCAGGGACAGCTTGTAAGAGTCCAGGTGTTGGCCGCCAAATGGATCGACAGTGGGATCGCAACAACGAAAACGTCCGTGAGTACTACAAGTTTGTGTTTCTTGACTGCAAGCTCAGCAGGTTGGAACTCCAAGACGTGAATGCCATTGAATTTTCTGTACATGCTGATTGGGATTGTTCAGGAACGGGGCGCTGTGGGGAGTGGGTGTTTGGCACGTAGCTGGCTTTCGGGCTTGCATGCGCGATTTAACAAGTCACGAATTGTGCATATTGTGCAGGTTTTGCACTGCACGGAGACACGGGCGCCGGGGGTGCAAGATCTGGGACGGGATCCGTAGACTGTTGTCGCCTTCCTGCAGAGCCTGTGACCTGGGGCCTGAGTCCACGCCGCCTGCGAGCCTGTTTGTTGCTTCGAACTATGGCCGTCAAGGATTACACATATAGATGCAGCTGCAGATATGCATTGACGCAGACATAGACACCGACGCAGGGCATACAGACATGGCACAGATGACGTCGATGCCGTGACATAGACATAGACGGTGAGACAGAGACACGGACATGGACATGGACATGGACATCGCATGTTTGCAGGCTCACTTAGGTACATACTACATACCTGTATACATACATACATACATACATACATACATACATACAGACAGACAGACATACATACATACATACATACATACATACATACCTTCATACCTGCATACCTACATGCATACATACATACATACTACATCCATGTATACATACATGCATACACATACATACATAAATAATTATACGTACATACATACATACAT